TCGCCCTAGTTCGTTGCCTTTCGCAGCACTGATACTGTTCACACCGAAAAAAGACGGGAGATTTCGCATGTGCATAGATTACAGAGCACTGAACCAGGTTACCATCAAATCCCATTACCCCATCCCGCGAGCCGACGAACTGATCGACCAACTGCGCACAGACCGGGTTTTCTCGAAAATCGACCTCCGAGGGGGTTACCACCAGATTCGCGTCAATCCGCCCGACTGCCCTAAGACCGCATTTCGAACACGCTTCGGATCCTTTGAATACACCGTCATGCCCTTCGGAATGACCAACGCCCCCGCCACGTTCCAAATGACCATGAACGAAGCTTTCCGCCCGCTCTTAGATAAGTGTGTCATAGTATACCTGGACGACATACTGATTTACAGCCCTGACAGAGCACAGCACTTACAGGACATTTAAGCAGTTTTTAAAATACTGAGTGAGAACCGCCTGCTGACAAAAGTGTCTAAGTGTGAGTTTTTACAGGACCGCCTGGAATTTTTGGGACACGTTATTTCTGCTGCAGGAATGGAAATAGACCCGAAGAAAATTGCGACGATTCAAGCATGGCACGCGCTGACCAACTTGACCGAGTTGCAGATTTTTTTGGGGTTCGTCAACTACGTGCGCCGGTTCGTCCCCGACATGGCGAAGCTGACTGCCCCGCTGACAGACCTGCTCAGGAAGGGGGTTGAGTACACGTGGGGGGAGAAAGAGCAAGCTGCCTTCTCGGCCCTCAAAAACATTTTGTGCTCACCGCCCGTGCTTCACATCGCAGATCCACACCGTCCGTTCGAGCTCGTCACTGACGCAAGTGACATCGCTGTGGGAGTAGTACTTTTGCAGGATTTCGGGAACGGCCTCCATCCAATCGCGTACGAGTCCCGCAAGCTGCACCCGCCCGAACGCAATTACCCGATACACGACCGCGAAATGTTGGCGATCGTGCACCCGTTCAAGGTTTGGCGGTGTTACCTGACTGGCGCCGACGTGACAGTACGGACAGACCACCGATCACTACAGTACCTACGCGCCCAACCAAATCTCAACCCGCGACAGATTCGCTGGTTGGACTACCTCGAGTCCAACTTCCACTACACGGTTACGTACAAGAAAGGCGCCTCCATCATCGCCGACGCACTCACTCGCCCTACCGCCCAACTCCATGCCATCCTACTCGCCCAAACCAACCCGCTTTTAACAGGCCTATTCACCCACGGATACCGCACAGACCCGTATTTCACGACCGGAAATTCACAACAACTGACAGAAGCTAAAGGAGTTTATTACGTAAAAACAGGCACCAACCGCATCTGGGTACCCGCGTACTCACTACTGAGGGAGCTGCTACTGCAGGAGGCACACCACGGAATTACCTTGGGACATTTTGGGGTAGAAAAAACGAGACAGCAACTGCAGCGGTATTACTATTGGCCGGAGCTGTTGACCGACGTGCAGCAGCACGTGGGCTCGTGCCCCACGTGTCAGGTGATGAAGAGCTCGAGGAAGCGGAAGGCGGGTCAATTGCAGCCGATACCACCGCCCGAGCGCGCCTGACAGCAGGTTACCATGGACTTCGTCACAGGGTTACCTTCGAACCCTGGGGGTAACGACGCGGTGATGGTCGTCGTTGACAGTTTGACGAAGATGGACGAATCAGACGATGGAGCAGTTGATTCGTGCCACGTGCGACGACCCCACGACTTGGGAACAGCAGCTGCCGCTGATCGAGTTCGCGTACAACAATGCCACGTCAGCAACGACGCAGCAGTCCCCTTTCTACCTGAACTACGGGCAAAACCCTACAGTGCCCATGACGCCGAGTCCGAACAACCCAACTGTCGAAAGTTGAACGAATGAGAGAACGAGTAGATTAAAGTAGGGCCTAGGCTTAGTAGCCTAGGCCCAAGTAGGATGTCGAGTAGGTTTCTCCTAGGGTGAGTATCGAGTGAGTTGGAAGAGAGAAATTGGGAAGAATAATGGTTTCACTATAGGGTTCGAAGTACATATAGCATAGGAACCAAATAAGGTGCACCACCAACAACAGTTTAAATAACTACACTAACTACAACTACAAGCAGTTATAAAACATGACAAATATATTTCGACACGCCCCCATAATGCTTGTAGGTAGAAATGTAGTTACGCCATGCAAAAGAGTAACAAGCAACAGCAGGAACTGCAGGCGGGCTAACATTGAGTAGTTACCCCCTCCATCTCCTCACCCTCCTCCTTCCCCTCCCCCACACTGCTGCAGGAGCAGCAGAGAAGGGGGGAAGAGAGGAGAGGTGGAGGGACGGCTGCATGTTGCCTCACACCCGCCACCCCGGTACCACTCCCCCTTCTCCCCCACATCCTCACACCCTCCCCCCCCAGCGGCAGCTGCAGCGGTGGGACTGAAAGAAGGAGGAGGGGAAGGGAGAGAGTTGACCCAACACTCCAACACCCGCCACCCCCATACCCTCCTCCCCACGGTTGCAGGGAGACAAAGGAGGAGGGGGGTGGGCGGGAAGAAAGCCGCAGAGCGGCTAAACGGTGTCGACGCAGATGGATCAGGGGCGGCTTCAGGGAGAGCAGGGGCGGAAAGGCCCGTCGCGTGCCAGTGCCACGGGGCGCACGACGGGTAGGATAAGAGAAAGGGCCCGATCGTGTGCCTCGGGGCGCACGACGAGCAGGGCACCATCGTGTGCCACGGGGCGCACGATGGGCAGGTTAAGGGCACCGTCGCGTGCCACGGGGCGCGCGACGGGCAGAAAAGGCGTCACACGCCAACCGGGGGCGGGACAAGGAAAAATCGTCACGCGCCCTAGGCGCACGACCGGAAAATCTTAGCAGCGGAAGTGTAGGGCGGGCCCACAGGCCAGGACGTAATTCGCTCCGATAACATGTCGAAAGTTGAACGAATGAGAGAACGAGTAGATTAAAGTAGGGCCTAGGCTTAGTAGCCTAGGCCCAAGTAGGATGTCGAGTAGGTTTCTCCTAGGGTGAGTATCGAGTGAGTTGGAAGAGATAAATTGGGAAGAATAATGGTTTCACTATAGGGTTCGAAGTACATATAGCATAGGAACCAAATAAGGTGCACCACCAACAACAGTTTAAATAACTACACTAACTACAACTACAAGCAGTTATAAAACATGACAAATATATTTCGACACCAACACCACGAGCACAGCAATTCGCCGAAATTCTGCAAGCTGCCCGTACCAGAGCCGCAGAAGCAATTAAAAAAGCAAATGTCATCACTAAGCGCAATGCTGACCGCCACCGCCGCCCAGTCACATACCAATCAGGGGATTACGTACTGCTCGACACGCAAAATCTGCGACTGCCTGACGTACCAAAACTTCGACCGCGTTACTGTGGCCCATTTCAAATCAGCTACATGATTACGCCAGTAACCGTGCACCTACTGTTACCGACCGACTGGTACATCAGCCCTTCGTTCCACGTCAGCTTGCTTCGCCCATACATCCCAACCACAAGCCAACTGCCTCGCCACCGCCCGCAATCCATGACTCGCCCTGCGTCGGATCCGATCATCGAGCCCGAAAAAATCCTGAGCCATCGGATTCGACACCCCACGGGAATCAGGAGGATTGAATTCCTCGTTCGCTGGAAGGACCGCACGCCAACTGAAGATAGCTGGGTGCCCCTGGCCAACATTGAAAACTACCCTGCCCTGCAAGTGTACCTGAGGAGCCGGGGATTCCGCGATATACACGCACTCGCGTAGCGGAGGGGGCTTCTTGAGAGGGGGGGGGGGGGGGGGTAGTGTAAAGAATTTTCTCGGCGTTCCTTACGGAGCCCGACTACATCGCGTACAGCAACAGCCGTTGTTCGCCCATTACTACTAACGGGACTTCGCCAACTTCGCGCGCACTGTTTTGCCAAACCTCGCACTGCTGGCCCGGCCGTGTCGGCCCACGCTTCGGGACTAGCCTGAGCCTCGCTGCCAGCATAGCACTAGCTAGCTCGCACGCACCGCGTTACCGTTTGCATGTTTCGCATATAAATGTTCGCTCATGCCTTCGCTCACATTTTGTACTCGTTTGACACCTTAGTGCAATTCTCGCTACCGTAATCTCCCGGACAAAACACCCCCCCATGATAGTACACCCCCGGGTAGCTTGTGCGGGGTGGGTGCTATGGGCGACCTCGTTTCTACTATACCCCCCTTTTTGGATGATTTTCTATAACACCCCCCTTTTCTTACGGATTCCTATTATAGTTGTTATCGAGTCTGATTCCTTACAGGGGAATATCGCGAGAATTGCTTCCTAAATGAAATTTCGCGCGTATTTGCACTTAGAATCCGCCAACATTTCCCCCTCCCACAATCTCACTGTCGCCACCCTGGCGAATCTTTCGCTGCTAGTGGACATTTCCCCCATCCCACATTCTAGGAAGTTGCCACGCTGGCGAATCTTCCGCTGCAAGTGGCCCGAAAGGTGAAACTCACATTCTTGCCAGAACTCACATTCTCGCCTCAAACTGTGATGTTAAAACGACCATTGAAACACCCAAACTGTCTAATTTGAGAATCCTCTTGCATTAAAATATACCATATATAACCACCCGGGTATTATATAGGATTTTCCGTTGAGAGGACCCCCCCCCCTTTTTCCCTGTGGTTATCATAATACCGTACCCCCGGGTGTTATGTCCGGGAGAATACGGTACTTCGATTCATTGCACCCGTAACACATTAGAAAGCATTCCGGTTCAAGCCTGTAAAAGATCTATCAACTATGTATAGCAAGAGAACGAAATGGCATAAGTCTCCACACAGGACCAATGAGACCACTACACAGGCAAGCAAGGCGGGGCACACTAAAAAATGGAAACAGCAATGTTCAATATTGGGTACTGTACCATGTACCACTATAATGTGCACCAAGCAGACCTGTCTGACCTAAGAAAAGACATGGGCCATGCATTGCAGTCCATGCATGGATGGATCCATGGATTCATACCAGTCCTTGCATATACTCTAAAATATCTTCTTAATTTGAGGCCCTAGGCGTCGAGGAGTGGGGAGAGCCATACCAGCGCCCGTGCCATCCTCAACCTCCATTTCATCCCCCTCCTCCGATGCCACACCGCCCTCCACCCCATAGTCATCACCACTCGGTGGCCAATCCTTCTCCTTGCGCGATACCCCTTGTCTCTTTGACCGCATCCCCCCATCCCCCGCTTGATCCCCATCGTCTCCCTTGAACCCTCTTCCAAATGCTGATCTGGGCGGCAGTCGTCGTCTTGGAGTGAGAGGGACACCAAAAGCATCCATCCCACTGCTCTCTGCCTTGTCCACTTCCCCCTCCCCACTCTCGCCCCAACCCTCTCCACCATCCCCCCGCCCTTTCGAAAGCGAGCTGGAACGAGGGGCAGGAGGGAGAGCCGCACCAGAATTTGTAGCACTGCTGCTGCTGCTATCAGCGCAAGGTGCGGAGGGCAGCAAAGCAGGTCTCGGGGGGAGCTTGGGGGCCTTGCCACGTGTGTCCATGGCACCTGCCTCGCTGCCTGTGCTCTGAAAGCCACGTACCGCCCTCCCTCTCCTCTGAGGCAGAGCTCCCAACACCGCTGCCATCCCCTCGTCCTCCTTACCCTGCACCACACCTACCTCACTTCTTCCCCCTCTCTCCTCCTCCCCTGCCTCATCTCCCTCGCCCTCCTCCCAAGCCGCCCTGAGCTTCGGCTTGCCACGTCTGGGGGATGGCAACCACACAGGCCCTACCCCAGCACCCATGTCAGCGTCCCCATGGCCAGCACCTTCATTGTAATCCCTTTGCAACCCTGGGTCATCGACCTCTGTGATGGCCTGTAGTTCATCCCCTGGCATCAGCCCCCCCTCTTCACCACCTGTGTCTGCCTCTGCCCCCGCCTGACCCGTCTCCCCCCATCCTTTGTCCTGCTGCGCCCTCATTCCGCCTTTGGTGCGGGGCGTCAGTGGGGGGAGGCCTCGCCTCACCCCTCCGCCACTGCTGCCTAACTCTGATACCTGAAGCCCTCCCGCTCTCAACCCACTGCCACCACCATTGCCAGCGCCATTACCTGTGGCGCCCTCGACTACTACCTTGGATCCGCCTGATTGGTCCTTGAGTCGGTGAGGGTCGCGCACAGCAGCAGCGGGCTTGGAGAACTTGCTCAGAGCAGCGCCATAGGCACCACTGCCAGAGGGGGGGAAGAAACCCAGGGAGCGCGGAGAGAAGGACGAGGGGGACGGCATGGACGTGTGTGCATGCAGTGGCAGCGGCGCAAACACTGGCTTGCGAGGCGCGCTCCCCTCCTCACCTCCCCTTGCCTCGCGTGCCTCGCCTGCCTTGCTGCCTGCGTCCACGTCCTCGTCATGCACGGTGAGTCGCGCCAGAGCAGAGCTTGTAGATGCCACTGCCGACCCAACGCCGCTGCCTGCTGCTGCTGCTGCTGCTGCTGCTGCTGCTGGGGTTTGCAGTGCGGGTGAGGGTTGAGCGCCACGCGGGGTGGCGTTGGGAGACTCCCAAGGGAGGGAGTAGGCGGGGTTGAGAGGCAGGGTGGCCTCCAGCCAGCCCCTGTGCTGATGCGGCAACACCTTTGTGGGCGGCGCCGACATCGCCCCTGCCCCTTGCGGCGTGCCTCCGTCCAGCCCCTTGTTGAAACACTCAAAGTCAAACGAATACTCCTCCCGCTCCTCCACCACCCACTCGCCCCGTCTACTCCCACCCTCACTCCCACCATCGCCCACGCCCCGCCCTGATGCGCCACCAGCACCTCTGCCCCCTGCCACGAGCACAGGCAGCATGGACGCGGGGTCGGAGTGCAAGGCGCCATGGCCGGGCAGGTGGTGCGCGTCCTGCCCCAGGTACGTGAGCCCCTCGCGCTCCAGCACGCTCAGACACACGCCCCACTCGCCACTGCCGCCGCGCACCAGCCGCTGCGAGCTGAGTGCGGCCTTGAAGCCGTGCGGCTCCTGGCCCTGATGGATGAGCGACGCTGCTGCTGGCAGCCGCTCGTACCGCACTATCTGCGCCGCTGCGTGCTGCGCCTGCTGCTGCATGGGCGGTCGGCACTCCGCGCCCTGCCACACGTACAGCGCTGCGCCCACCTGCGCATATGCACGGAGTTGCAGAGAGGGAGGGGGAAAGAGAGGGGGGGAAAGGGGGGGCATAGTGAGAGGCGTGCACGCAGTGAGGGCCACAGGGTGGCTGGCAGGCTTGGGAGAGGCAACCGTGGAGCGAGGGAGCAGGAAAACGGAAAAGGAGAACGGGACGCAGGGGGACGAGCAACGGAGGGTGCGCTGGGGAGTGGGTGAGAGGAGGGGTGGGGGAGTTAGGGGGGGTGCGCGCGGGCAGGACGGGAGCGGACCTGCACGATGAAGGCGCCGCGGGGGTCGAGCGCGGAGACAGACACGTCAGTGAGCATCTTGGGCACGAGGTGCAGCGGGTCGTACGGCGAGTGCGGTGCCATGCGGTACACGCGCACGTTCTCCATTTGCCGCTTCCCCTGCCCTCCCTGCCCCGCGCTCTCGCCATTGCACCTGCTGCTATCCGCGCTACCGCCAGCCCCAGTGCCATCAGCAGCGGCGACAGCGAGAGCGCGCGGGGAAGCAGCAGGGAGCAGCGGGGAGGATGGCGGGGGCGGCGAGAGCACGCGCTTCTGCCACTGCAGCAGCTGGCACGCGAAGCCCATGTTGGGACTCGCGACGCCGCGGATGTCCTTCACCACGCGGAACGCGTCCTCGAACTCCACTTGCTGGTGGGGGGAGGGGTGGAGATGCGGAGGGGGACGGGGCAAGGGACGATTAGACGTGCGGAGGCACGGTGGGAGAGCGGAAACGTGGCCGCGGGCGGACTAGTCAAAATACGAGGAATGCTAGAACACGGAGGAAATGCCTTTGCACAAGTAGTGAGCGGGCAGGTACAGGGGCGCGGAACAAAAGGAAGGAGGGCAGACGCGGCGCACGGACCTGCGCCCACATGAGGTAGGCGATGACGAGCGACGTGGAGCGCGAGACGCCCTGGCAGCAGTGCACGAACACGCGGCCGTTGACCTGCTTGACCTCGTTGACGAAGTCAAACACGTCGTACAGCACGCACTGGATGTCCTCCGACGTGTTGTCCTGCGCGCCGAGCACAGCCAAAGCCACGGAGAGGACAGGCGCCGGACATGTAGGTATGGGGAACAGATGGGCAAAAAGAGTGAAAGGCGCAAACGCTTGCAGCCAGAGCGGCGGTTACCTGCGGCGAGAGAGGCGGTTACCTGCAGCCAGAGCGTCTTGTAGGTGATGTCGTGCGGGAAGTACTCGGGGCACACGAAGCCGACGCAGTTGACCACGTGCGTGATGCCCGACTGCCGCAGAATGCCTCGGTCGCGCGCCACGGCATCGCTGCCCACGTACACGTGCGGCAACACGCGGCTGCACTGCTTCTCGAAGAATACAAACTTCTCCTTCCGATCGCGCACCTGCATCGCCTCCCCGCTCTCCTCCTCCTCCTCTTCCTCGCCCCCCCCGCCCTCCCCGCCGAACCTTCCCCCATCCCCCGTCACCGAGAACCCGTCCGGCCCAGCGGCCGCATCGCCTTGCGCGGAGAGGTGCTGCGCGGCGGACTGCTCGGGGAGCAGCACGCCCGCGGGCCCGGAAGGCAGCACGCGCAGGTCCAGCTTCATGCCCGCCAGGCGCATGCGCGCGCGGTTCATGCTCATGGACTGCGGCAGCGGGCGCTGCTGCAGCGCCGGACCCACCCCCGTGTGCTTCTTCGGCGCGCGCCCGCCACCCGACGCACCGCCGCCGCTGCTGCTGCTGCTGCGGAAGCTGCGGCCGCTGCCGGGCGTGGCATTGGATCGGGAACTGTCCAAACGCGAATCGTCGTCGTCCCACAGCGAAAGCGGCGGCGCTGCGCCGCCTCGCCGCACACTCAACAACCCGTCGTCGTCGCCTTCGTCGTCCTCCTCTTCCGTCATACTGGGCCCTCTCGATATAGTCATACTCCTGCTCGAGCCCAAATGCCGCATTGATCGCCCGCTGCCGGGCGAGCTGTCGGAAAGAGGCGGAGGGGAGTCGAAGGCTACCGCGCGCACGTCACTGTCGCCCGCATCGCCTTCTACCTCCTCCAACACCCGCAAACCCATCGCACCTGCGCCTTTCCCCCTGCGCCCACCTTCTTCGCCCGTAACCCCGTTCATGCCCGCGCGGTGACGGTCGGGGCGAGCGGCGTGTGCGGCATCGGAGTCAGGCAACGGAACATGCGCGGCGGGGGAAGCCACGGGCAATAGCGGCGGTCGTTCCGGCTGGGGGCCGTCGGGCGCGGCAACGGCAGCGAGCGACGGGACCACGTCCACGGCCACAACCGCGCGCGCCTTCCTCATGCGCGACAGCCGGCGGACAGGTCGCCGGGTGAGACGGCGGCGGGCGGTACGGACGGTGCTAACAGAGGCGGTAAAGGCGCACGCGTGCTTGGAAGGGACGATCTGGTAGGAGCTGCGCGCACGGATGCTGGCGATGTGACACTAACGGAGGCACTCGCATGACATCGTAACGAAAGAACGACTCGCCTAGGGGTTAGTTACTATAGATGAGCTTTGAGGGAAGAAGCAGGGATGGCGTTGGCGAAACAGAACAGGAACGAACAAATAACGGTCGCGCCTCTTGCACGATGTTTCCCCAGCATTCGTCAGGCCCCGCACACGCGATGTTTCAAGCCGAGAAGCTCCCTGACTTCTAACTCTCCTAAGCTCATCGTTGTTTCCGTCGTTTAACGGTAGTGGCTGAGTAAGAGCAGTAGTTCCGTAGTCACAAGGTCAATCATCTGGTGACACTGCTAGTTAGTTTGGAGGGTGGTCTAACGGCAAGCAAAATTCTGCCGTGTGACAGTGCGGTACAGATGGGTGACGAGCCAGTCTTGGGAATTACGCCCAGAAAACCTTGGCGGAAGCATCTTTGCCTTTGTTCCGACAGTCTCCCCGCGCACGCTGGTTGAGGAGGAGCAGTTGGGTAGTACGTATTCCCGCGCGCCGTCGCCTGGGTCGCGCACGGCACGCCAGGCGGTGCACTCGGAGGAAAAAGAGTGCAAACGGTGAAGAACGACGTTCGCGACATCGTTCGGACACAGCAATGCTGTCGTTGCTGTCGCCACGACAAGATGAAGTGAAGGGCGTACAGTCCAAGTTTCCCACGAGCAGAGCAGATACGCCACAATTTGTAACGGCTTCACGTACGAGGCTCGGGCGTGTTCCTTGACGACGCGGTAGTGTGCAATATCGCAGGATCGTCTGCACATATCGATCCCCGCAATCGATTGGGCAGATCGATTGGCGAAGCGTGGCGATCGCGACGTTGTAACGAACGCCACTGACATTTGATAGATCTCCCGCGATTTGTGATCAGTCGCATTCACACACTGTCCAAAAAATTGGGCTAAAAAGCGTACGTAGTATGGTTACAATGTAGTAAATAGGGTAATCGATTCGCACATCGATCGTCTACTTTTACCGCGTCCTGAGCCATCACAACACACCCGTCTTCGAGTCACTCATACCAGTTACCAGCAACAAGGTGCTGGAGCTATTGTATTTGTTGCATGGTTTAGGGCCCGGCACCATTTTACCTTTTGTCAAAGTTCGTACCACCTACAACGAACCATGCTACACGTGTTTCAAACTGTAGTCGGATGACGTTCTAACAAAAGCACGCACGGACGATGTGGTGACAATTTTTTTCAAGGTTTTGAGTTTTGAATTTACTGTGCATCCGTAACATTATTTACGAGCTTTCGTAACTTTCTGTCAAAGGTTCTCGTGCAAATGTGTTTGCCGTATCGCATCAATTAAATTTTTGCAAAGCGGCTCGATAATATTCATATCTTGCCGTCTTCCCACGCCAACCACAAAACAGTACTGTTATGTTCGTGTTACATATTGATCGTAATCAATGTACAATGAATAATACCATAGAGCTATCTAGAAACATGGTCGAGATCGCCAGCTGTCAGAACATATAGCTTGTGCTTATTGTGTAGGCTATAGTGGGGTAGCCCATAAGGGGTACAACCCAATTAGGGTTAGTACTTGTACTCAGTTCATTCATAGTCCAATCATTCTCGTTTCAGTTTTCTCATGGTATCGAGCAGGTTCCCTAGTGGGAACTGTGCCTAGGGCCCACCAAGTCGAAACATTTTTTTCTGCCCGGAGCGCGCTCAGCCCGAGTCGCGCTCCTCTCTCTCATCTCGTCGAGCCGCCCTAGCGACTGCGTCGCGCCGCCCTAGCGGCCCCGTCGCCCTAGCGGCCCCGTCGCCCTGGCGGCCCCATCGCCCTAGCGGCCCCGTCGCCTAGCCCTACGGCCCCGTCGCCTGGCCCTTCGGCCCAGGTGCCGCCCTGTCCCGGCCCCGCCGCCCTTCGCTGCGGCCCCCCCCCGCCGCCCTTCACTACGGCCCCGCCGCCCTTCACTACGGCCCTGCCACCCTTCGCTGCGGCCCCGCTGCCCTTCGTTGCGGCCCCGCCGCCCTTCGCTGCGGCCCCGCCGCCCTTCGCTGCGGCCCTGCCGCCCTTCTCTGCGGCCCCGCCGCCCTTCTCTGCGGCCCCGCCGCCTCTCTCGCTACGACCCCGCCGCCTACCTTGCAGCCCCGCCGCCCCTCGCTTCGGCCCCGCCGCCCCTCCCGCTGCGGCCCCGCCACCTACCTCGCGGCCCCGCCGCCCTCCCAGCGGCCCTGCCGCCCTACCAGCGGCCCTGCCGCCCTACGTCATCGAGCCGCCCGAGCCGCCCAAGCCGCCCGAGCCGCCCGAGACGCCCGAGCCGCCCGAGCCGCCCGAGCCGCCCGAGCCGCCTGAGCCGCTGAGGAGCCGAGCCGCTGGTGCCGCAGAGCCGCAGTTGCTACTGAGCCGTCCGAGTCGCCCGAGCCGCCGTGTTGCCAAGCTGCTGTGCTGCTGAGCTGCCCGAACCGCCCTGTCTGGTGAGAGCAGCGCTTCTGTCACTGCACTGCCCCTGTCCTACAGTTAGTGCTGCTAGTCTACTGCTGCCATGGCTACCCCCAGTGTTCTCGCTTTTGACGCTGAGGATCGGGCCATTGACTTTGAGGTCTGGGTAGATGACCTGCAGCTTTTCCTACAGTGCGATAGGGCAGACGGTCTCTCCCTCTTTGACCTCACCTCTGGCGCCTCCCCTGCCCCTGCTGCTGACGCTGACGCCACTGTTCGCTCCCAGTGGGCCACGCGCGATGCTGCTGCACGTCTTGCTGTGCGTCGCCACCTGCCTACCTCCGAGCGCGCGCACTTTAGTCGGTACAAGAGTGCTCAGACCTTGTACGACGTTGTAGTTGCGCGCTACTCCTCCCCTGCCACTGCTGCACTGAGCCGTCTCATGCTACCGTACCTCTTCCCTGACCTTACTGCCTTTCCCACAGTCGCTGACCTCATTACGCACCTCCGCACTAGTGACACTCGCTACCGCGCTGCGCTTCCTGCTGACTTCTGCGCCAAGAACCCCCCCCCCCCCCCAGTACATCACTCTCTACTACATAGTCACTCGCCTCCCTGACTCCCTTCGCGTAGTCAGGGACCACTTCCTTGCGGTCTGTCCCACCACTCTCACTGTTGACCTCCTCGAGAAGTCCCTCCTAGCGGCCGAGAAGAGCATAGTCGCTGTAGGAGCCTCTCGTGGTGACCCGCGCACCCCCATCTTTGAGGGGTGTTCCCCCTCCCCCCTACTGCCCTCTGTTGCCTCTGCTGCTGCGGCCGACCTCCTTGGTCTTGAGTTGGTCGGTGCGGCGTCTGCCCCTAGCGGGAGACGCCGCTCTGGCAAGGGCAAGGGGGGGGGCAGGGGCACTGGAGGGGCGAGCGGGGGCGGTGGAGGTGGAGGTGGAGGCGGCGGGGGGAGTGGGGGTGGCGGTGGGAGTGGTGGTGGGGGTGGAGGTGTCGGAGGCGGCAGTGGAGGCGGAGGCTGCGGCGGCGGTGGCGGTGGGAGCGGAGGTGGCGGAGGTGGCGGCGGTGGAGGAGGCGGCGGAGGTGGCGGTAGTGGCGGAGGCGGCGGGGGTGGCGGTGGAGCTGGTCGCGGGTCTACGCAGAGGAGTGGCTCCTGTGGTGGTCCGCGCCAGCAGCAGCAGCGCGGTCGTGAGACCCTGTCCCCTCAGCAGCTCCGTGAGTGGTACACTGCACGCCAGCGGGGTGGGGGTTTTGGTCCGTGCACCTACGTCCTGCGCACCGGCGACCGTGCGGGTGAGCAGTGTGGGGGTGCACACCCCACCCAGCGCTGCTTTGGCCGCCTGACGGACGCGTGGCGTCACCAGTGCCCGGAGGCCTCCGAGATCCCTCGCTGGGGCGAGCTGTCTAGGGCGGGTATTGCCATCTATGATCTTGATTTTGATGCTATTCTTTCTGCCATGTATGCTGTGTCTATTAGTGATGAGGGTGACTGTTACCGGTGTTTCCCGCCCGATCCGGGCATTGAGACTGCTGCTCTAGGTACTGGTGAGGCGGCTGCCCTAGGTGCTTGCGACGCTTCTGCTCTAGGTGCTAGTGCGTTTGCGTCCTGAGGTACTAGTGAGTCTGCGCTCTCAGGTACTACGTCGGCTTCGGCCTCCCTCACCTTCACCCTTGACTCTGGGGCTTCTCACTCCTTCTTTCGGGACCGCACCACAATCACGCCGCTTAGCCGGCCGGTTGCGGTGTCTCTGGCTGACCCCTCTGGGGGTCCTGTCCTGTCTCACTTCTCCACGGTCCTCCCGTGTCCGGCGGCTCCCTCTGGCACCCTGTCTGGTCTCTACCTCCCCTCGTTCCCTACAAACCTGGTGAGTGGTGCTGACCTACAGGATGGGGGAGTACACCAGTTCACTCCTGCGCGTCAGCGGGTGACCCACTGCACAGAGGCTAGCACAGGCCGACACCTGGCTACGTTTACCCGTCAGCCGGGGTCGAGCCTATACACACTGACCACTGCGTCTCCTCCAGTTGTTGAGTCTGGTAGGGTCACTACGTCGGGTCAGGTGTTTGCTGCAGCGTCCAGGTCTGGTCCTGAGTCTGCCCCCTGTTCGTGTCGTCTCCTGTCTCACGAGACTCTCCTCTGGCACCACCGCCTTGGTCACCCCTCTCTGCTTCGGCTCAGAGGCATGGCCTCCCGTCTTCTTGTTTCTGGTCTCCCTCGGTCCCTCCCTCCCCTTCCTCAGGGCCCTGGCCCTACCTGTGTCCCCTGTGTC